AAAAAAAAAAAAAAAAACTGAAACAAATCGTTTTCTTTTTTTCGGCCCCAAAATTATCCGCCCCCCTAAAAAAATCCCCAGATTCCGCCCCCCCGTTTTTTAAGTTTTTATGTTTTTTATTTTGCAAGGGGGTAGGGGAGCACCCCCCTACTCGAAACCCACTTCCCTCCCCCCAAACCCCCTCCTCGATCAGCCGCGGTCTCGGCCGAACGTTCGTGACCGGAGCTGTCATGACCGGAGGGGTCCCGGCCACGGCCGGCGGTCGCGGCCATGCCCGAACTCGGCCACGGCCGAGAGGATACATAGTTGTCAACCAAGCGTGAGGCTCTCAGATACAATCCTAGTCCCTAACAATCATTTGAAAACAAAACAACAAATCCACTTACCTTAAAAGAAAATCATACAAATTCAATCCATTGATTTGATGAGCCGGTCTGCCAAAAACTATTCTTTTTAATTTGTATGACTTAAGAACTTTTATATTATCATTCCAAAATTATTAATTGAAAAGAAAAAACTAGGACTGATTTTCCTATCATGACTATTGAAGTTCATCATAAATAACTTTTGCAAGTAAATACCACTGCTACCATGCAGATCAATAAGTGATCTGGTTCCTGGTCGATGTTTGAACTCTCGGTTCAACCACACTTTCGTACCATATGCAACTACTTGGAAGAGTGAATGATATTTTGTTGGTCGCTTTGTCCTCCTGGAAAATAATTACTCTTTCTGTTCCACGAATGATGGAGTATCCATCTCCAATACCAAATTACTCAACACAGAAATGTTCCACCTCCCGTTGCTTTGTCATCATCATTACGCTCAACAATTTTTTTTCAGACGTTCGCTTTTTACTTTATTCAACTTATTTTTATGCGATCGATTACCCCTCAATGCATAAGCATGATAGTGAAATCATCGGGGTAATCCGAATACTGTCCATCCACCATTCCTAACTGCATAAAGTGTTTTTTTTTTTTAGATTACCTCATGAAGCCATAGATCATATGGCTTCCTCGACTGGATAATTTATGCAAGGGGGTTTTCTTGGAATTTGAGTAGGATTTCCAGAAAGCGGCGTCTAACCCTGGTAGATCTGTCGTCCTCCGCGCACTTGTGCCTCCAACAAATTCAAACGTGCACGCTCGTCGTTGTCAAGTACCAGGGTTGTTGCTCGCCCACCTCGCTTGACTCTAAAAATCTGAGTATCATACAAGGAGGTCATCCGTGAGGCTAGTCTCCACACTATGACTCAGAAAGGCCTACTGAGTCCAAACAAGTGTCTGGTCTCAGTATCCCGGATCCGGATGACGCTGAAACGCCTGCCGGACGAGGTAATCGTGATACTCACAATGACTCGAGAGAGACATTGGAGATTACTCGCGCGGTGAAAATACAAGGTATATCCGAAAAACTCATCCTTAGTCCCGGCCGTATTTGTCCGAAAATTTGCGCGAATAGTGGGAAAAAATCCCTCGTCGTTTCGTAATAATCCGATAAAGTCATTCCACTCAGCAGGAGAACCGTCTCGAAATCATAAAAGTTGCTCCGCTCCTCTCATAAGATCGTCCTCATGTGTCTCGCGAACCAGCAGGTACCTCGGGGTCGTAAAGTCTCGCCGTGCTCTAGGCATCTGCGTGTCAGAACAAAACTGCGTTAGTCGTGTAAACGTTCCTCGAGTTCATCCTCCTCGTCCTGCCATGCATACTCTGAGAAAGGTTCAACTCGTAGAACAATGAACCTGTTTGCCCGCACCCGTCTTGTATGATATATTCTGAATAATGGACCCTGCCATTCGTTCATCCGAAGTACGGAGCGGACGAACGTCAACCTTATCTCCGGTATCTCATCCATTCGCAGGTTTATCTCATAAGGCTCCATCACTACTAAGTTCATGTTGGCGAAATCGTGATCGGGCAGTGGTGGCGCGAACTCGTAGTGAAGAATGTCCAGACCGGTTCTTGACCTGAAAATGAGCCGCCTAGGAGGATTTTGCGCACTGCCATCCCAGAACCGCGGAACATCTTCCTCTTAGTATAATTCATAGGGGTTGTAAACGAGTCGTCCTATTCTCTCTAATCTTTCTCCGTTGAGTCTTTGGGACTCGACCCGTTTCGCCGCTGCATCACGATTTCGGAAAAGGTAACAGACCGTCGTTCCCGCAACCATCTGAAAGAAAGAAGGACCAAAGTGATCAAGTTAAAATTTTTGACCACTAAGTATTATAAAAATATTTGTCTTTCTTTTGGTCCGTGCTTCTTATGGCACGGCCAGCCACGTCGGGAGTATCTAAATACACCCCGTTTGGCTAGTAGGACACGAACTGGGTTGCTTGTGGCACCAGTTCCTCATACGTCAGTGGCTCCTAGAATGACCACCAAAGGAGTGCTATGGCAGTTTCTCCTTACGTAAGGCATCAAGAACTTAAAGTCCTTTCGTGAAGATGTTTTTATTCATTCCCCTAGGAGGTGGTCTCGTATACCCCTCGTCCTCGTCCGAGTGAACCCCGGAACTCAGAAGTCGGGCTGGCTCCACTGCAACAACATGGTACCCCCCCGCAAAGCGGTCCACTCTGAGTCGATAACAGGGTCGGCCCCTAAGGCAACGAACCCCCGCCCCTGATGCCTCCTAGGAAAAGGAAAAACATCTACACGGCGGGCAAGCAAACTCTTGCCGCCTGACGTTAAGAGCAACTTAGACGAAGGAAAGAAAAACGTAGAAGAAAAAAAAAATCACTAAGATGGACGGGCATAGACGAAGAGGGTCATTCGGGAATGAACAGGTGACATTGGGAAATGAGTCTAAGTCCAACTGCGTCCCTCTTCATTTTCATCGTTTTCTTTTCCCTCTAGTTTACACGTACTCACAAGTAAAGAGGTAAGAAAACAACCATTATTTCACCATCATCACTCTTATCCATCTCAGTCCACATGCCGTACCTGCAATCAAGTCAAACCACACATAGACCACCATACAATCCTTCGCCATCGTCAGACTCCTCATAACACATGCAAACACACATTTCCTTTTCCTTTCCAATAAACATTCACAGAACAAGGGTCAAGCAAGTGTGGGTTCACACAGGTGTGGAGGTAACTCAATCAGATTAACTGACCTTGAGTAAAGTTGAACAGTACACTCAAGAAAACCGTATAAATTTACGTTCTCTTGACGAGAAGGTCGTCGCACCCAGTCGTCAGCAAAATGATCGACACCACTCCCTTGTGACGACCGCCTGCCAGAATACCCTCTCAGCACACAATCACCTTCCAATAATCTGGCGGCGTTTTCTCGTTACCGCCACTTGCCTCCAAAGTTACACCGTCCCTGCGGCGTTACGCTTGCTCTACTTCAAAAATGCAATGCCGCTTTGACACACCTTCTTTGTGTCAACGCCCCACCTCCACTCAGTGCAAATACACTGTCGTTACTAACAGCCATTTCGTCAAAACTGACATATTATATTTTTTGAACGAAATCAAAATCGACTTTTTTTGCCAAAATCCGGTCGGAATTTTTTGCTCCTGGGGTCCGACGTTCCCAAAACGCCGGACCCCCTACATGTATCTGGTCTATGGTTGAGACCAGATACAAAAATAAAAAATAAAAAAAATGTATCTGGTCTCAACTGTAGACCAGATACATGTAGGGGTTCCGGCGTTTTGTGAATGCCGGACCCCTAGGAG